TATTTTTTATTTATATACATTATTTAAATTTGATTATGACTATTGCATATATAAATTTTTAGAATAGTTTTTTTTTCTTTATTATATGTCAAAAATTAATATATTAATGTAAAATGTTATAATTTATATTATTTTTTTTATTATATTATATTACAATCTTCGAAAAAAAATGATAAACATAATATTTGAGAAATATTGATTTTTGCAAAGTACAATATAAATTATATTTAAAATTTTATTTAACAAATATATTAATCTACTATTATCTACAAGATATATATTATTGTACATAAGATATATTCGCGGATCAATTTTGAAGAATAGAGTCAAATAAATATAAAAGTTAATACACGAAAATGTTAATTGATTAAATTATAATCAATTTAGAATTTACATTAAATGAAATGAGGCAGAAACAGAATGAAATGATAGATAGAACTTTTCTATCTTCATTTCGCGTCATCTAATACAAACTTAATAAATAAAGAACATTTTTATGTACTAACTTTTTCGGTTTGATTTCTATATTTAATTTGTTCTAAAAATATCTTATGAATATATTATCTATTTATATATCAACAAGCTCTAAATAGTTGTGCAATCAAAACACGAATCGTTATTTGAAAAAATTGATAATCATAGCAAGCATATAGGACGAGTTTTATATGTAATTTTTTCAAGTTTTTTTGATAACAATTCTTTAAACTAATTTGATCTTCATCCTTTTACTACTCAAGTAAAGAAAATGAAATATTGATAAAACATTATCAATTTGTGTTTCGATTATGCAATTATTCTGAGCTGAGAATCGTACATGATCTATCAATAATATAAATAAACTTTAATCAATAATGAAATATTGTTCCAAAAAGTTTATCTTTGTAAATAGCGGGAAAGATAAATAGGATAAAAAAAAATCATTATAATCAATAACAAATAATTAAAAATTTTCAAACCAAAAATTTGTTTAATTTGAATATGTTATAGCTAGTTCGTGAAGCACAATATCTCCAGATATTTTAAGAGTATCAATGATGGATGGTTGTAATCTGTGTTTGAATTCACCAATCATTTTGTTTCCTAACCATATTGTATATGCTTCGAATTCACATCGAATTCTACAAAAAAAATAAAAATGTGAATTAAAAATTCAACAAAAAAAAATTAAAAAAAAAATAATTAAAAATTAATTAATAATATCTTTAATTATATTTGTTTGAGTAAAATTTTTTGTAGGGTATTTTTTTTAACCTACGTCAGAAGAAAATCACGACCAGGCATCCATGACAAATGACCTGAGTGTCTTTCTTCGTATCCCCAAGATCCATTTGTCCAGAAATTCATTACAACATAAGGTACGTTGCTGCCATATAAAAAACGAGGATTTAAATGTAATGCAATTACTGGATGTGGATAAATTGCTTTTCCTTTTTGTAGATTTACGTAAAATCTATAATCAAATATATATAAAATTAATTATTCCCTATTTCTTGTTTGAATTTTTTTTAATCCTAAAAATCATAAGAACTCACGAATGTGGAAGAAGTTTTAATCTTCCTGCAATGAAAAGTCTGGTTCCTATTTTAAATTCATTTTCAATATTTACCGTGATTGGAACACTCTATATATAATTTTTGATATTTAGTAGTAATTTCAATTGATAAAAACAAATATAAAATATAGTATTTAAAAAAAAACCTACAAGAAAATCGACGAGTGGTTGATCAATTTTTAAAGTTAAAATGTTATTTGGTCTGCATAATTTTGGATCAGGATAAACAAATAATTCCAATTGTCTAAATCTAGCATCTTCTAATGATCCATTAATTTCTAAATTTATTACATCTTCAAGAGGTATTCTATATGCAAAAGCACAAAAATGTTCTCCATTTACTGCAATCTAATAAAATTAATCTTGAAAAATATTGCTATAAAATTTATAATTATATTAATCAATCTTTAATTCTTACTTGATATTCATTAGCAGTACAAAAAATTAAAACATGCACATAGGAATTGCGCTGAAAAGCAATATGTCCTGCAGGAGAACAAGTCTCTTCTTCTTCCCAACAACCCTTAAATTTTGAATTTCGAACCACATAACCTCTGTCTAATCGTGCATTAAAATGCAATGCAATATTTTCAGCATTTTTGCACAATAAATTAACTGAAAATCTATAAGAATATTTAACAATCTATAATATGTTTAACAAATATATATTTTGATTTCTTTATATATATATATATATA